AGGAAACAGGCAGAAAATATGCATGGTGTGACATATTACATGCCTTACATAACTATGGTGGGGTTATGCATACACTTCCCAAGAGGGTATAGAAGAGCTTGAGAGTAGCCCTCAAGTATACATTACCTAAGGGGGCATAAAAGACATCACAAATAATCCTCAAGTATACACTACCCAAGAGGGCACGAAAAATTGAATTCACACTAATTGATATTAGTAGACTGCTCTTTGTCTGGATTGTTTCCTTTGACCTATACTTAAAGTTGAGGCAGCCAAACTTCAAATCATTCTTTACTAGTTCCCAAATGTTGTTATCAAGCTTGGTTATTCTTGATTGATATCTTTGCGATTTCCTGTGATCATTCAACTTGAGGCATTTCCTGCCTTATCTGTCTGGTTGAGAGCAATTTAATATACCATATCAACAAAAAGATTATATTTTGAGACACTACAAATCCATCTACTGGAATTTTGCTGTCCAGTTAGTCTGGAGACAAAATGAACATTCAATGTGGTTTGGTTACCTGGTGTTGAAGGAACAGCCTTTGTTGAGACCTGCTGGCAGGACAGAATATATTGTAGACATCAGGGAATAGACAAAGCATTTCCTTCTTTGCAAAAGGCTTCTGCCTGATTCCACATTAACTTTTTGTTGGCACATACTAGTGCTTTTTGGGGTTGAGACGGGATCCTGCAACACCAGGAAGCTCAGCCAATTGATCAAAAACTTGAGATCATGCCAAGTGATTCTGATCCAAGATTTATTGTGTTTTTGGTAATTGAAACTCATATCATACTTGTAACAAACTTACATGTAGCTTACCATGATAGTATGAGTGGTTTTTGAAACAAAATGAGCTAGTTACCTTACATGTTCTTCTCTTATGTAATAGTTATGTCTACTGCAAAACATGATGGGAAAAAATTATAATCACTAAATAATCAGTTAGTATTTAAAGGTATTGTGGGAGTCTTAAAACATGACAGCCTTGAAGTGTGGATTTGCTGAGCAAAGGCACTGGATTTACTACAATGATTGGTTTTCATCTCTTCCAAGACACGGTAGTATCTTTCAATTATGCTAGTGATGCTGTGCTGACAGGATTGGTTGTTGTTTCTTCCTGTTCTTTGGGTGATGGAGACTCTGTGCTCTCTTCCTAGTCTCTCTGCACGTGCATGTAACATTGCATGTACCATGACAAATGCATGTATCAAGATGAATAGTGAGAACTTTTGAAACCTAGAAAGTAAGTGGTAACCTCAATTACTTTAAATTAATATTATGATATCAGGGTTTGCAAATTTTATTGATGAGTAGAGTCAGTGTGACTTCTACCTCCAAATTTTGGAGTAATTTTTTTGATATTTGAAGTCAATATCAATGAAAAAAGCAGTTATTTAATATTCATAAACAAGTTTCTAACACTATTACACTATCATAGTGTCTACTGACTTAGTGCATTGTATATTAAATTAATAAGGTAACAAACAACAACATGTGAAAATGCCAAAAACTAGCATTTCTGATGTTCAGAAAATTCAAGATGAATGGTACCTTATCTTCCTCTACATGCTTGCTGCTACCTGTGCACAGAGGTGTCAGCAAAGTCATCTAATTGGGAAGGGCTGTTTACTTCAATGCATGCAAGATGCTTAATAATGGCAATTCTCAGCTGGTTTTGAGTTTGATATTCTGTCAATTTTAGGTGCTGAATGCCCCCTCACAATCTGCATTAGTGACTGGAATACCCAAAGCTACTGCTGCAAGCCTAGCAAAGTTAGGATACAGATCTTGATGTTCAGTAATCAGAAGCTTAGAGATTTTTTGAAGGAAGAGATGCCTTTAGTTTAGTGTTATCAAATCGTGCAGTTGTTCCCATTCAAACCAAGTTGCTTGTTTATCAATAACAGCAGGGACTGGACCATTCCTGCCATTTGTTTTCTTTCCATAGCAGTCCAGCAGTACAAATGCAAACTGGCTAACATGCTCTGGAATATGAAACGCTGGTGGCCTTTCTAGTTTTTGTCTTGGTAGTTTGCTGGTAGGTCAGGAACAACCACATTTCCACATTTTCCCTGTGTAAATTTGTTGCCTGAGAATGCAGCCATTGCTTCCTTCAGCCATTGCACTGACTTTGATTCCAAATCTGGAAGGTTGTTTTTTTCAAATTGTTGAAACCCAACCCTCCCCCTAAAAGGTATCATTTGTTCATCAGTGGTTAACCACTGGTGGCTTACCCACTCTTGGTCATACTTTGGTAGAAGTTTGCCCAAGAACCTTCTCAGTTTGTAAAGTTTGTCAGGTGAAGGTTGGTCTTGGCCATCCCTTGATTGAGGTTTGTTGACTTCCTCGTCGCAAAACTTCAGGTACCCAGTGATGTCTTTAACTCTCTCTCTCTGCTCATATGCTCATTCCATTGACCAATTTCAAACAATCAGTATGATTGCTGCCAATAGTCATAAAGATCTAGGAGTTTTAAGAAAACTGTAGCCACACAAACCCCAATGAATGCTTTCATCTCACCAAGGCTTGCTATTGGTCTCCATGGAGACTTACGCTTATCAGAGTTATCAGCTCTTCTTTTCTGCATATTTGTTTGTCATTTCTCTTTAAAATTCCAATAATGCATCATGCTGGAATAACTGGAAACAAATTAATGGACTTGACTTATCTCCCCACACACGAGCTGGACCAGGTCCGAGACGAAAGTCGGGAACAGTGTTGTTTGGATTCTTTTGATTTCAAATAAACTGGGGTTGTTGTTGTAAGCGCCTTGCTCGGTTTTGATTACCTCTCATTGCTCTTTGATATTTTCGAGGCCTTTTTTGATTGCTTGAGGTGTCTACAGATGCATTATCCCTTTCAATTGAAATAAAAACTTGGTCCAGTGTCTTCATTGATGAACACAATCTCTGATACTCCTGATTACTCCCTACTCTGATTATTTTGATTGTCATCAGAGTCAAATCACTGCCCGTTGACTTGATGTCCTTGTCATTTCCAGTCCCCTCCACATCGTTTGGACAGCCATGACTCAGCCAGCACATGTATTCTGCTGCCTCTTCCTCTGTATTAATCCCATGCCTCATGGCTGCTGTCTGAACGGTCTCCTTCAGCTGCCTTGTTGCCAGTAATTGAAGTCACCCCTTTGTGCACATACCTCTTTGAATTTACTTGAGGACAACCTTTGTGCCCTCAAGCCTTTTCAGCCTGTTCAGCCTGTTCCTGAATTTCCTCTTCATACAATGAGATTGGTCTTGAGTTACACTTAGCACTGCCATAAAATTCCGTAGTTCCTAGGCAAGTACAAATGCAAACTGGCTAACATGCTCTGGAATATGAAACGCTGGTGGCCTTTCTGGCCATCAATGTTCATATGAATTTTAGGGTAATTTGTGAATTTCTGGTTTTTTTTTTGTGCTATTACATTTGAGTTGAATGAGTAAAAGGCGGAGGGATGGTGGTGGACAGTTTAATACCTTAACGAACCATCTCTTTTTAAAGCTATTTTATTCAACAAGGACTACATCTAATACTTTACAATAATCGAGATCAACTGACTCCTAGCAAAATGAAACTAAAATCACTGTAATATATTCTTCTTTGCTGTTTAATGTGTTCTAAAAAGCCATGCTTAAGATTCCCAAAAATGGGATCAACAAGTAACTTTCTATGTGGTTGTTGTTTGGCAAATTTCTGAACTATTGCATCATAATCGACTGATTTTTCACAATGAATACTCATTAAGCTAGGCCAGAGAGTCTCTTGGTTGTCATCATAGTCTGTAGGTAGCCCTTGACTAGGTTTAAAGTGCTGTTTGAGCATTATCAGCTGATGTTACTGGAATTTTACATGCAATTCGCAACAACAGGTGGATGTTGTCGGAATCAAAAGCCTGTAGATAGACAGAAAGTGTAATGAATAAAGCTGTCATTGGTCAACCTAAGAGAAATTTGAACCAAAAAAAATTGAGTTACTTCGAACCTGTAAGGTTCATCTGGTTTGTCCTTCATGGATTGCCATTTTCTCACCCAAATGATCATATTCAATGTCAAGAGTCTGTTGGCTTGGGGGATCTGACATATACATCTCACAGACTTCAGCTATGTCTACATCAAATGCTGCCCTACAGTACTATCAGTACATATGCTAACTGTGTCACTAGCGTACCAACGTATTAGCGTACTAACTCCACTTTTCCGATGAATGAACTGCGTCGTTATGTACTAGCGTTCGATTAATGGACTGCATGTCACTAGCGTACCAACGTACTAGCGTACTAACTACACTTCTCGAACAAGCATGAATGACTTGCGTACCAACGTACAAGGGTTCGATTAAAGAACTGCATGTCTCGTGTGTACCAACGTACTAGTGTACTAACTTCGAGTCCACTTCTGCGACAACCATGACTGACCTGCGTCCTTGTGTGCAAGCGCTCGACCAAAGGACCGCATTTCACTAGCGTACCAACGTACTAGCGTACTAACTACACTTCTCGAACAAGCATGAATGACTTGCGTACCAACTTACTAGGGTCGATTAAAGGACCATACCATAGTACCATAGTACTCGGTATGGACAACTCATCACGGCTTGTTTATTTCTAAGTACGTTGGTACCTTAGTACTCGGTACGGACAACTCATCACAGCTTGTTTATTTCTTAGTACGTTAGTACTGTAGTACTCGGTACGGTCAACTCACCACGGCTTGTTTATTTCTTAGTAGGTTAGTACTGTAGTACTCGGTACGGTCAACTCATCACGGCTTGTTTATTTCTTAAGGCCGATTTACACGGAAGAAAATTTTTGGTACGGCTCGGGTAAAAACGGTTCGCGTACCAAAAAAAAGTAGCACTGGTGCTTGTTTACACGTCCTTTTTTCTGCCGTGCTAAGCGGTTGGAATTAACGTCTTGGTTCGGGTAAAAGGCTCAACATCTTGGCCAGCGTTCGCAATTCTCGCTTCGTACGCATGCGGCTTGCTAAGTAAGAACATCATGGCGGACGAAAAGTATCTTGAGTTTCTCCTGCTAAAAAGATCTAGCGTCTTTTCGAAAGGAATTACGAAGTCAAGCTTTTCGTCTTTATCTTTCCAGAAGAACAGAAAAAGAAGAAGAATATATAAATTGTTGATAATTGCATCCGTGCTAGCTTGTAATACTATAGAGCGAAGATTCTGGACATTGGCACGCACAGATCAATGGTTTCAGATCGTGGAAACTGCATTCACAGACAAGGAGTGGTACGATAACTTTCGTGTTTCCAAAACAACATTTGATTACATTGTTTCACAGATTGAAGACGAAATTGGTCGTCAGGATACTTCAATGCGTAAAGCCATCTTCCCAAGGAAGAGAACAGCCATAACACTTTATTACATGAGCTCCACAGCGGAATACCGGACAATAGCAAACTTATTTGGGGTATCAAAGTCGTTTGTTTGTCTTTGCATAAAAGATGTTTGCAAAGCAATAACAAAAAAGCTGAAAAAAGATTTCTTGTCAATACCAAAGGGAGAAGATTTGATTGAAGTCATGAAGCTCTACAAGGAGAAATGGGGATTTCCCTCATGTGCAGGTGCTATAGATGGCACCCACATTCCAATACAAGCTCCTCTGGAAAATCGTACTGATTATATAAATAGGAAATCTTATCACAGTATAGTGCTGCAGGCAATGGTGGACTCAAAGTACTTATTTCGAGATGTGGTCATTGGTTGGCCAGGCAGCGTCCATGACGCAAGAGTGCTTTCTAATTCAGAAATTTATAATCGTGGATGTAACGGAGATCTTTTTGATCCCAATATCAAAGAAACAATACTCGGTATTGATATTGCTCCTGTTATTCTTGGCGACCCTGCTTACCCTCTCTTGGACTGGCTAATAAAAGCTTACCCAGAAAATCAAAACACACCCAACTGGCAGAGGCACTTTAATTATAGGCTTAGCAGAGCACGTATGACTGTAGAGGACACATTTGGTAGATGGAAAGGACGTTTTCGACGAGTTCATAAGCGTGTTGATATGGCTGTTGACTCCACATGTTACCTTGTGGTTGCTTCATGCATCCTTCATAACATCTGTGAATTAAAGAGGGATGCCTTTTTAGAAGAATGGCTCGAGGATATACAGAATGCTGTTGAACAGCCCGACATCATCCCATTGGCAATTATCGAAAGACAGACTGAAACAGATGCCGCCAACATTCGAGATGCCCTTGCACTATTCTTTAGGACACCAGAGGGCCGACATATTGGAAGGGGTGGTGAATAATTTCACAGTCACAAAACACTTTCACATTCATTACAGTTAGACAGTTGCTGCCATGGATCCTGAGTTTATCATATGAATTGTTGTATCAATGACATCTTGCACTTTTTTGTGGGAGGTTTTGTTTAATTTTGCAATCAAAAAGTTGTATCTCTGCTTGTGCGAGGTTTTAACATCAATTGAAAAAAAAAGTAATTAGTCTGTTGAGTTTCTCATGTAAATTATAAATAAACCAATGATGATCACAATAAAAACAGTTCAAACAGCAACTTTATTTGAAAGTGGTTTTCAGAGAAATATTAACAATGATAGTAACAAATTTGTTCCACAAGTGGTTCTTAAATTAACAATATAATAAATTTGTAACAGAAACTTGTTAGTCCTGATGAACATAACTTTTAACTTCTATTCCAGCTTCATATCAGTAAGATGTCAGCTTAAACAACGCCAAAATTTCTTACACTTAAAAAAGTCTTTAATTCTGGTTCTTACCCATGTTTTCTAAAACACAATGCATCAATAGTGTACAGAACAATATATTCCCTTGCTGATTTTAACCTTCTTTAAAATGACCAAATGATTTGGTCTCAAGGACAATAAACAGTCACGTAAAACTATTTCCGTATGAAAGATGTGAACCAGATGGTTACAAAACAGAGGGAAAAAAGCCTTTTCACAAATTGTCTCTTCACATCAACAACAACCAACGGCAACCTCTGAAAACTATAAGTCTTTACATTTCATAAAAGCTGCTCTCACTGCCACTGTGGACAGGGTTGCTTCCTTCATAGAAATCCATTCTTTGAAATGGATTTCTATTTTGGCTTAAAAGATTAACCAACATCAGCTCATGTTGTCGCTCCTCCCTGCGACGCTCATTCTCTAATTCTTTCAGCCGTATTTCGTGCACCAACATTTCTTTTTGGCGCATGTTCTCAAGCTTTACAAGCATGTCCATCTCCTGTTCAGCGGCAGTTTTGAAGCTCTCGGTTAACACTGCAAACGATTTCTCAAATCTGGTCATTTTGCCTTTCTTGACAACTTTGTTTTTTTTCGTATCAGTTTTTGCTTCCGCTTCCATCTCCAATTTGGGTTTTTTTGCCCCACTTAGTCTTTCCTCTCTTGCCCCACTGCTTCCCTCAACACTGCCTAGTTTGCCTTCACTACACAACCGAACACACTCAAAGGTTGAGGCATGGGCGCGTTGGTCAGCTAGGCCCAAGATATATTTTAATTGTGACAATGAGTTTACAACAAAGTGGATAAGAGATACCAACGTCCTTGCGCCAAAGCCGGACACGTAAACCCCAAAAACCTCTTGTTAGGAAAATAGGGACCGTGTACCCCCGACCAACTGCAGTGGCGCCACCTTTGGGGTTTTAAGGTTGATCTATAAACAATGAAGAGAATGAAGAAAACAAATCATATCAGGCTAATTACACAATAAAAATAAACCTTATGGGAAAGTGCTAGTGGCAAGGCTGACCGTAGAATGCCACAAGTATCTCAACGGTCTCTTCTTACAAACATACTACCCATGAGCCTTCGTGTACTATGCTCGCACCCAGTTCTCTGTTCCGTGTCGGCAAAATATTAATTTGTGTCAATACCGATTATCACAAATTACATTTTGAATTTGAGCTCAACTCTTCATTGTCAGCTTCATCACCAGATTCGACGTTGGTTTCGTCCTCAATGTTCCCTTCTGTTCCGCTATCCAAATCTTAACAGGGGAACAAAACAATTACGAACACAGAGAAGGTAAGGTAAACAGGGGAAGTACAAGAAAATTATGTGATTCCAAAGTTGCATTTAGTAAAAGTTTGTAAGACAGTAACATACTGAGCTACCACTTCTGTCAGCATTACAAATCAAAATCTTGTTAATTTTGGTAAATGATGATGTTACTTCAGGCTGTAGTGACTGGCGAACATGATGATGATGATGATGATGATGATGATGATGAAACAAACCTGTACTTTCAGCAGGTGCACTTGAATCAATAAGGCATGCAGGCGAAGATGTGTCCCTGTGACCACATGCTTGATCCATCTCATCAAAAAACTTCCATTTTTTCTGACGTTCAGTGCCACTTCTTTTTTGCTTATCGTGATGTTGTTTGTACTGCTGTCTCAGCTTTTTCCATTTGTTAATGATGGCATCTAAACTGATATTAATACCTACAAAACAAAGAGGCTAAGTTGCCAGGTATTCTACAACAAACACTTCTCTTCATCAAGGCTTGCATTATCTGACATACGAAATGGCGAGCGAAAATAACATCCAGTACCTTAACTAGCATCACGATGAAATTTGAAGAGTCCCTGTTACAAATGGAAAGTACTAATTTCGATCTAACTAGTTTTTCATTGAAAACCTTTCGCATAAACCCCTGGGGCATAAACATCGATCAGCTTACCTTTCTTTTGCATCTGTACTTGAACAGTTTTGTAAGCGGCCCTTTTCTCCTTTGGCGTCTTCGCATTATCCAGACTAAACATAACTGTCTCTTCTTGCATTATTTGAATTAATTCCTTTACATCTTCCTCTTTCCATGAGTATCCACGCGATTTTTTGGGCGACTTTCCTTTGGAGTTTGCTTCCGCCATGTTGAAACGTGAAGTGAACTTTCTGCACATGCTCCCAACAAATGGTGCTGACTAATCGCATAAAGGCTCACTCGGAAAATGTTGGTTTGGCACGGCTTATCGTTTACACTACGCACTTTATCCGACCCGGGCTAGAGTTTTTGGAACGCGTACCAATTTTATCCGTGCTCGGACTACCTCGCGAGTAGGTCCGAGCACGGATAAAATTTTGGTTCGGGTGCCAGAAACATCGGTCGGCACGGATGAGGCATAGTTGTTTACACGACTAAATTCATCCATGCCGAACCAATGTTTCTGGTACGCGTACCAATTTTATCCGAGCCGTGCCAAAAATTTTCTGTCGTGTAAATCGGCCTTTAGTACGTTAGTACCTTAGTACTTGGTATGGACAACTTATCACGGCTTGTTTATTTCTTAGTACGTTAGTACTGTAGTACTCGGTACGGTCAACTCATCACGGCTTGTTTATTTCTTAGTACGTTAGTACTGTAGTACTCAGTACCGACACTAATCATGGCTTGTTCATTTCTTAGTACGTTAGTACTGTAGTACTTGGTACGGTCAACTCACCACGGCTTGTTTATTTCTTAGTACGTTAGTACTTTAGTACTCGGTACGGACAACTCACCACAGCTTGTTTATTTCTTAGTACGTTAGTACCGTAGTACTCGGTACGGACAACTCATCACGGCTAGTTTATTTCTTAGTAAGTTAGTACCTTAGTACTCAGTACGGACAACTCATCACGGCTTGTTTATTTCTTAGTACGTTAGTACTGTAGTACTTGGTACGGACAACTCATCACGGCTTGTTTATTTCTTAGTACGTTAGTACTAGAGTACTCGGTACGGACAACTCATCACAGCATGTTTTTCATTTGTTTAGTGCCTTAGTACGTTAGTACCTAAGTACTCGGTACAGACACTCACCACGGGTAGCGTTTTCGGGCCTATAATGGGCAAGAATAATACAAGAATAAACAAGCAAAATAAATAAGTCTGATCAAGAATAATACAAGAATAAACAAGCAAAATAAATAAGTCTGATCAAACCAGCTTAATTCTTTTAGTACCTTAATCATCCGTACTAAGCAAAAAAACTAGAAAAATGATTCCTAATTTGGGCATGGTATAGTCTGCATTTGTGCATGCCACAGTGGTGCTTGGCCCAAGGCTGAGCAATTCCATGGCACTCTTCTGAGTACACTCAAATCTGAAAAAAAAAATTGCTGTGATGAATAAGCCTGTTTATTCAATTTTGCATTATACCAGTAAATATATAAGGTTGAGTAACCAGTCAACCATTTGATAATTTATATAGATTACCTTAAAGACATTTCTTGTGTGATATGGTTAAGGAATGGAATTAACAGAATGCAGCAGTAATATTCCTCATGTTGTGAACTAATGGCAAGCTACATGCCTTTATGATAACGAAATAAGGACATGTAATTGCAATGTACATACAAGGCTTTTAGGTTTTTCTGGGAAATTAAGCCTTATATGCGTCTATCTTGGGAGGACATGTTTAAGGCACCATTGTAACCTTGATCTTGGCAGTGGGAAATATCCAGGCCCCACTGGTCAAGTTTCCCTAGGATCAGTTGTGAGATCACCTCTCCAGTTATTCTTTCTGAAGACTGGAAACCTAAAAACTCAGTTTACTGAGTTGTGAAGGAATCGTTTTAATATCTGCCATCAAGTAGAAGAAGAAGAAGAAAGACTTTATTTATTGAGGATAGCACGTGATAGTGCACAAACACTAATAAACTTGTGGTCCTCCTAATTACAATAAATATATAAATACAATAGAATCATTAATAGAATGAAATATAAATAGAAAATTAGCTAAAACAAGTCAGAATATATAAAACTACTATCAATAAAATTTACGGATTAAAATGAGCTAAGCATGATTGGTCCTTATAGTAATATTTAAATACGTTGTCTTTAAAGGCCTTAAGTGTATTAGACTTTTTTAATTCAGGCTTTAACTGATTCCATAATTTTATGGCAGAAACTAGAAAAGTTTTCCCTCCTTCTCTAGCCCTTTTAAACTTAGGTAATAAAAAGTTGTATTTACAAAATCTAGTGTTGCGTGAATGTACTGAACTTAATAATCTTAAGCTATCATTAAGATAATTAGGTACACAATAATTAATCCTTTTAAATAGTATTGAACATTTAGCCATCTTAGTAGAGTCATAAAATGGTATCCACTTTAAACGATTGAATAGCATAACTGATGAACTACGTGGTTCAGCATCTAATAAAACCCTAGCAGCTCTCTTTTGTAGCCTAAGTATTCTTAAAAGAGATTCATTAGAGCAAAGTGACTGCCATGCAACATTGGCATAATCAAATAATGGCTTAATTAAACTATTATAAAATAAAAGTCTTTGGTTAAATGGTAAACAAAGTTTGATCTTATTCAAAATTCCAATTCTTTGTGAAATTTTTTTACACAGTCTGTCAACATAAGTGTTCATTGATAAATCGTGGTCAATGTCTATACCAAGAAGTTTAGCTGAGGGTACTTGTTCCAATGATACACCATTCATAGTTTTAAGAGATAAATTATAACCATCTGGTAGTTTCTTCCCAAGGCGTTTGCCTGTGACCAGTAGTGTTTTAGTCTTTTTTTCATTGAGAGGAAGTTTATTGGTGTGCGTCCAGCATTCAATTTCCTTCAAAGAAGCAGCTAGTGAATCTTGTAGAGAATCAACCGCTGAGATATCTGCCGATAATGTCAGTGTGGTGTCATCAGCATAGAGATCCAGGTCAGCACCATTAACATGTAGAGGCAAATCATTGATATAAATGACAAAAAGTAAAGGGCCAAGGATACTACCCTGTGGAACACCATGCCTCACAAGAGTAGAGTAAAAGTGTTACATCAACTGCCTTATTCTTACAAACAACCGTCCTTTTTAGTTTAAACACTCAAATGAGGCTACTACTAAACAATGCCTATTGTTACATCCTTTTCCTTATTAAAAAAACAAATTAAACAAAGACAAACAAGGTAAACACACACAAAAAAGCAGAAACAGAAACAGACAAACAAACAACGCAAGTGAGTTCAACTGTTCAAAGTTTGTGGAACATAGAAAGCTTCGACACTGGTTACATCCCAGTAACATAATCCCTTAAATAAGCTGGCTTCTTAACAACTCTACATGATTGCATTGCTGCTTTGGTAGTATGACTGGATGTTTAGCATCTTCACTGATCGGTGAGCGTTGGAGGTGACCTCCTACACATATGAGACCTCTGGAAAGGATTGGGTCCAATTTGCATATGTGGCTTGATTTCTTCACACTCTTTATCTTCTGGGGGTTTGTGGTTTCAGAGGCAGCATTCTGTAAAGACAGCAACTCGTCATTGAAACAGCGACTTTGGACGACCTTGATGATTTCTCTTTTGGCTTCCACTAGCTCGTGGACCTTCAAGGCATCAATCTCCTGATCATGGTGGGACTGCAGCAGGTCTCCTTGCTTCTAATGACAGCATTTTGCAGCCGATTCCTGCATCGAAGTATCCACGCCATGAACCTCTTCAACAAGTACCATGACAAAAATCACTTGAAAACTTCTACAACGTCGTAATCTGGAGGACAAGTCGTGGTTGCAAATGTGGCAGCAACTTCTAAAGATTTCTGTTTGATCTCCTCGCCGATTGCAAACAGGCACATGGGGCCAATTTTCTTCGGACAGCCAAAGGAATTTTGGACCCTTTGTCCAGCAGTTACTTCTGATGATAGCCTCGGCAGATAAGCCCCTTGAGGCATTGTCAGCAGGGTTTGTCTTTGTTCCAATGTGATGCCATTGACTTGGGATGGATTGCTCATGGATAGCAGCAACTCGGTTAGCCACAAAGATTTTGTACCTTCTTTCACTGTTAGCGATGTAGCCCAGGACAAAAGTGCTGTCTGTTCAGTAGAAGGAGTCGTTGATAGGGAGTTCTACCTCTTGGCGTATCATTCTGTCCAGTCTTGTGGAGAGTACAGCGGCAGACAGTTCCATTCTTGGGATGGTCACTGGCTTTAGAGGTGATAATTGGGATTTTCCCATAACAAACGAGCAGTGAACTTCGTGTTGGGCATTTACGAGCCTGAGGTAGGAAACAGCACCGTAGGCCACCTGAGAGGCATCAGAGAAGTGGTGAAGTTGGCAGGAAATGATATCACCAAAATTCGGAGGCTTGAAGCATCTGTCGATAGAGAATTGTTCCAGTCTAGGTAGTTCCTCCAACCAACTCTTCCAGCATATTAGGTCCTCTTCAGGGATTAAGTCGTCCCAACCAAGTTGCTTCTTGCAGAGGGTTTGAAGAAGAATCTTGGCAGAAAGATAGAAGGGAGCCACAAAGCTGAGTGGATTATAGATCAAGCTGATCACGGAGAGGATTCCTCTTCTGGTGGCGGGTTTATCTTTGGTAGCAATCTTAAAGCTAAACGTGTCTAAAGTCACGTGCCATTGTACCCCAAGGGCTCTCTCCATAAGGGTGTGGTCAAAGTCCAGATCTCTGATGGACGCTGCCCGATCCAACACAGGAACAGATTCAATGACCTTGCGTTTGTTTGAGAGCCACTTGGTTAGCCGGAAACCTCCTCGTTTCAAGAGTTGTGATAGCTCACTTGATAGATGGATAGCATCTTCTTCTGAATCAACAGATTTGAAGCAATCATCCATGTAGAAGTTTTGCTCGACCGTTCTTACAGCCTTGCTGCTGAAATCTGCTCGATTATCTGCTGCGGTTTTCTTCAAAGCAAAGTTGGCACAGCTATGGGAAGATACAGCCCCAAATAGATGCACGGTCATCATGTACTCTTCTGGCTCGGAACAGTCAAACACAACACGTACTTTTCCTGGTTTTGCTGGATGTTGGACAGCGTGATGGGGGAGATGCCATGTCTAGCCTTGTGCTTCAGCTGGCTGGGCTTTAGTTGCGTATCCCCTTTCAAGAGATCTTCCATGCAATCTTTATACTTGGACCTCAGCTCTGGGCCTCTTGATAGGTGCCGTTTTAGCAGCTTAAGGCAATGGTCGACAACTGACCTATTGTTCTCCAAACAAGGAGGGTCGTTCTTCCAGGGTAGGGCAAGCTGGTAGTGGCCATTCTCCAGGCTGATAGAGTCTCTCATTAACTCCATGGTGTGCTTATCATTAGCTGACATCGATCTAGCTTCACTATATGCTGAGTCATTGAATTCCATGTTGCAGTAGCTCTGAAATTGTTCATTTAGCTGCAGGTTGGCCTTTGTGAAGTTAGCAGTGTGAGTGTTAGTGTTCGTAACCTTGCCTAGTGGACCATTAACCACCCAACCGAGGGTAGTTCTTGTAGCATAGGGTCCTCCATTCTGACTCGGAATAACCTGCTTGGGCTCGAGGATTACTGGAATGTCGCTGCCAATGAGCAAGCCAACATCCACATCAATATTGAGGATCTTCACTTCAGACAGATATCACCACCTTTCGACATCTTGTTGGTTCGCAACACTTTCAGTAGTGATAGGTAGGCTTGGTCTTGTGAACACAACTGGAACTTCAAAGATATTTTCCTCATCCAAGTCCACTATTTCTAAACTAACAATCTGACAGTCGGTTTTGCTGTCCTCCTCTATAGTTGTTAACGACAACATGGTTCTCTTTCCGTTCAAGTTCAGTTCCTTTGCTAGCTTATCTGAACAGAAAGATGCATTGGAGCCATTGTCCAGAAATGCGTACATTTGAACCATCCGATTGGAGCCCTTTGCCTTTACTTTAACTGGCAAGATAGCGAGACTGGTTGCAGATGCTTGAATTTGTTCGTTGTGCAGACCTACAGCTTCATTTCTTCCATTGACAAAGCCATTGTGAACCCTCTGATTGTCCACTTGCTGTGTAGCCCCTGTAGCACTGGCTCCGCTGGCTCTGGAAGCGATATTAGCAGCTGGTCCATTATTCTTTGGATGCAAGAAGGAGGAGTATTTGGTGTGGACATTTCAACCAGTGACGTGGCAGAAACTTTCTTTTGGACAAGAGTTCGAGAAGTGGCCAGGCACAAGGCAGTTATCGCAAATGTTCTTGGAGCAGACGAAATTAAATCTGTCTCTCAAAGACTTCTTCTTAAACTTGTCACAATGGGACAGCCAATGTTGGGCATTACAGAGAGGACATTTCTGGTTGCCATTAACTGGTGTATGGCTTTCTTGCTGTGAGCCTGCGTCAATGGTGAAGTTAGACGCCTTAGGGGGTGACTTGTTTCTGAACTTTGTTCCCTTGGGAGATACTGGGTTGTCCTTTGTAACATTTCCAAAGATGGCGTGTATGGCAGCATGAGCCTTTGAGGTAACGAAATTATCTATGTCCTCTATTGTAATTTCCCGTTCTTCAGTTTTGGTAATTCTGTCAGCAACGTCACGCCACTTCAGTTTCAATCCATATGGCAGCCTGTTAACGAGCATTTTAGGGTATCTGGATTCTCCACTTTGCTAAGATAGCCGATCTCCTTTAGAGTATTCTTGCAGCCAGTGAGCAGAATCGAGAACCACCGTAGTGCAGAGCTATCCTCTGCTTTAATGGGTGGTCTCTTTGTTAAATTGTTAACGTAGGCAGTAGCAATCTGGTCGCTTTGACCTTATCGTTTCTTGAGTTGACTCCTAGCTTCCTGATATCCTTTGTCAGGTTTCATAGATAAACAGCTGGACACTAACTCTTGTACTTCTCCAGATGTATTTTGCACCAGCTAGTATAATCTTGCCCTATCACTGGCGGTTTTGCTTTCAATCACGTTTTGAAAGGCTCGTATGAATCCCCAGTACTCGATAGGGTCTCCGCTAAATGTAGGCACCTCTGGCTGAGGGAGTGTCAGGGCAAGCGTGCTCTCTTGTTGTAGCTGAAGTAACTGTTGCATCACGGAATTCTGCTGGCTTTGAGTAGCTAAAAACCTTTCGAGAAATGTGTCGGGCAGGCCACGTTCCTTTTTAACAGGAAGCAAAGAAGACGGCTTATTAATTACTGGTTTTAGGTCATCGCATGGCCATCTGTTGGCGTTCAGATTGAGAGGTTTGCTAACTTTAGGAACTTCAGTAAAATTCTGAGGTCTGTTATCAGTGTTATCCAATGTCGGCTCGTTTTTTGGCAGTTGGCATTCTGATGAGCAGCTGTTTTGTGTGCTTTCAGAGTGTGTAGGCCGGTTGGCAGCTGGATCTAAAGATATAGGGGTTCCCACGGGATCTGCCTCTGCTTCTGCGTAGATTAACTCCTCAGCTTGTGCTTTTCCAATTTCTGTTTGGAGTTCCAAAGCTCTTCTTCGTTGCTGGATGCCTAGCTCTTCCTTTTGGATGGCGTGGAAGCTTTCAAGGCTCGCAGCTTCAGCTTGTAAAACTGGTCGTTTAGCGGCGGCCTTCGTCCTAGTGGCTGAAATTGAACTCGCGCGAGAACTTGCTAGGGAACCAATCCACAAACTTTTTCCCAAGCAGCGAGATGACTTTGACATGGCACGAGAACCAGTGTTGCTAATTGAATCCTCAGGATGTAATTCTTCTCGAGACTGTAGTGACCTTGTTTCAATAGCTGTTAATGAGATCCGGTTACCGACATCGCGTGCCAAATCTGTTCCTAAGAGAACTGCGGCATCATAATAATCATTTGACTCTTTAATTTCGTTTTCGTCACGAAGGTGAGAATGATAAGCGGCATGGGCTTCCTTAAAGTCTTGTAAGACTTGTTTGAATTCTTCGATTCTGTCCTTTACTAGATTGTAGTTAGGAATTACGGTCAACTTGCCGACGGTCCAACTCGCCAATGCCAACTCGCTGACGTATAAAATCAAGTAGAGATGTCGGCAAGTTGGTCCTCAATCCAATACAACTTATTAGAAGTTAAACATACAGAAAGTAAACAATATTTAGTAAAAAAAACACTGGTGAACATTGGTGAACATCACCAATGACTATAACAGCTTAAGAAGTGAATGAGTTATTGTGCGACAACAACACTGTAAAGACTCATCATGTCAATCGCTCAGATTTTTTAAAGAAAACTTGGCTTTCTAGACAAGATCTTTAGTAAAAAGCAATTCTTTTTATTTGCAACAAAGTTTATAAGGATCTCAATGTTTAAGCTTCTGTTTGATGTTTAATAAGTTATATTGGATTGAGGACCAACTCGCCGACGTCTCTACTCAATTTTGTATGTCGGCGAGTTGGACTGTTGGGGAGTTGACTGGATATCATTGTTAGAATTCAGCATCAACCCTTTTATTTCGTTTTGGGCCTTAGTAAGAATTCCTTTTTTAGAACTTCTGCTCCTTTTAAGCTGTAGGAGTTTTTCGGATTGGAACTCCGTCCCAACCGAGAGTAAAATTTTCTACCCTGACTCTAGAATTAGTTGGAAGTGATTCACATTCACTATCTGTGTTTTGTTCGCTTTCTTTGTCGGCCATAACCGGTGTAGGATTTCCATGCATGTGTTGTGGAATGTGATAGCTTATTGCATAACTTGAAGTAAACAATACGTGTTTCAACTGTTACATTAGCTAGCGCAGCCAAAGTCTTCGTAAAGGTAGAAAATCCAGGGATAAATGATGAACAACGCGAAACTTTGCGTCAAATGCGAACTGATGTGACTTTCCAGGAGTGAAGCCATGCGTAGGTTACGACTTAACCCCAGGAGCTTGAAATACTTGAACGCACATAATTCAAAGTAACCAGATCACATTAAAATCAATCTTTAGCATTTATTCAAAGGGAACGATGAATCAATAATACAAGAATCAGGATTACGGAATTAGGATGTGGTTGTGAAGGCTAGTCGTAGTCAATGATGATTGTGTGGTTCGAACTAAAAGCAAACCGATACAAAAGGCTTATGTAAACTAATACTAGCTAAGATACAAAACATAAATCTACATTAAACTATGATGACACCATTACAACTAAAAATATGGAGCGAAGACTTACTTGATCTTGCTCCAGCGAGGGTAGCAATTGATGAAATGACAGCTTAGAATGATAGCGGCGACAGCGATAGTATAAATAGTGAGAATGTAGATGGCGCAACTAAACTGATAAAAAATGTGGTGTCTCTAATTACATGATTCCAAAGGTTATATTGCAAAACTTGCATTGATCACAGCAATCACAGCATGAATAACAAAAACTTGGAAAATGTACAAATGAATAATAGTTATGTAAACACAACACAGAGAAGAAAATGAGTTACGAAAGCAACATCTGCCTGTTTGCATTGTTGGGCCTTGCACAGATAACCCACTAGGCTGAACAAGTGGCTCTGGTTGCTGAGATGCCATTGCATGCCCATTGGTTGCATCCACTCAACCACTGGGTAGGTTGTTGGAGAGCTCATGACCAGTCTGTGCTTGTTCAGGTGAGGATGTTAACTGTTGATCCGATTGCTCAACGCCTCCTTCAGCCACCAAAGCAGGTCTTGAAATCCAGCAGGCCTCCTTTGTTTTCCTCAGGTGACAGTAATTTCAACGATATCTGGCTCCATCTTTGGTAGCCACCTCAAAGGATCGAGTTCCAACACACCTTCAACCTTTGCTTTCACAGCTTCTTTATTCAGATTTCCAGGCGGCACAAGTCGCACTGTATCTCCACTTCTAAGTGCTCCCAGATCCTTAGCCCCCCCTATTGTAAGCAAGGACTTGTCGTTCTTTGTTGGTGAGAAGCCCAAGAGAATGGCGTTTAGTTCTAAGTAATAAATATGATGGCTTTCTTCTGAACTGGACCACTCTCCCAGTTGTGGTGTCATTCAGGTTTCCACACACCCTTTAGTAGAGGTGTGAGTGTAGAAGGTGACTTGTCTTCCTATGA